TTTGACTTGAAGCCTTGGTCTCGGGGGAGTGTCAGCATCTCAGTGTTCCTGGCAGAGGCCCCAGTTACCATCTTTGAGGGGTCAGGCATCCTGTCCATCAGTTAAGCAAGGGCTCCTATTTTTTTCTTGTGGAGCAAGGATACCGTCCACATCTTCTCTTTAAACCTGTCCATCAGTTAAGCAAGGGCTCCTGTTTTTTCTTGTGGAGCAAGGATACCACCCACAACTTCTCTTTAAAACAATCATAGAACCATTTTGATTGGAAAAGTCTTTTAGGATCATGGAGTCCAACCATCCCCCAGCTCTGCCAGGTCCCCACTGCCCCGGGTCCCTCACCCCACATCTCCACAGCTTGGGAACCCCTCCAGGGGTGGGGACTCCACCACTGCCCTGGGCAGCCTGGCACAGCCCTGGGCAACCCTCCAGGGCAAGAAATTGTTCCTCTTGCCAAACCTAAACCTCCTCTGGCACAACTTGAGGCCCTTTCCTCTTGTCCTACCAGAAAGAACACAATGATCTCTCTTTTCCCCTTAAGGAATGATGAAAGTGTTAATTAATTCTCAGGCTGCTGCACTGGTGGATCAAGCATGGCTGGAGAACCAAGCCTCACTGCTCAGGGACATGATTTCCATGGTCCCACCTCAGGATAGCTTTCAGAGGCTGTGCTGATAACATTCCCTTCCAGGGCCTACATTTCAGTCCTGGGTGCACCATGGACGTGTGGGACCCTGCAAGTCTTGGTTCAGGGCATGACACAGACTGTCCATGCAAACATCTTCATACTTGTGCAAGCTACCATGCAGTGAGCTTTTTAATCCTCACAGCAGAGGCTGTGCTCTTCTACCTGCAGCTCTTTGTTCAGGTTATTCCACTGCACAATCAGCAGTCTGTGTTTTTTCCAAGGCATGCTTCACATACTGCTGGGCAAATACTCTCTCCAAGATTTTGTCAGGGGGACTGAAGAGGCTCATTGCAGCTTTTCTTCAGATTAACTGCTTTAATTAGCTTGTAGTTGTGTGTTAGAAAACTACCCATTCTTCCTGGTTTGTTTAATACATTTTGGTGGGTATAAGGTAACACAAATTTGCCTTAAAAATAACAAAATCTGTGTGTGTTGTGTATGGTACTGAAAATAACTCCCTTAGGAATGAGTGAGAACTTCTTCCAACTCTTACAAGGTATAAATTCTCTGGATTAAAAAAAAATGAATTCTTAAGTATGAAAATGTTTGACAGTGAGGTGATTTTTGGCCAGATCAGATCCCAGAATCTGAATCTGGAGCGTATATGAAGTCCCACAATTTATAGTGCCTATAAAAGAAATGACATGCACAGGCAGTTGGACTAGAGGAGTGTTGTAGGTCCCTTCCAACTGAAATAATCTATTCTGGTCTACTGGTCTTTCTCAGTGAAAAAAATTGCTTGTAATCTTATTCCAAGAAGCTGTAGAACTATAATATGGGTAAAATTAGAGTCTCTTACTGTAATGTGAAAGCCAAGCTGAGCCTGTACAGAGTTCCAAAGTGAAAAACCAGGCTGAAGACACTGTGAGTAGCTGGCTGGCTGCTAGAATGTGTCCTGGGCCCTGGTGGGAGAAGTTCTCATTGTTTTGCAGTGCCTGTGAGGTAGAGGTGGGAACTACAAATAAAAGATTGCCCCAGGTAAGGAGCCTGTGCCTTTGGTATGTCCACAGCCAGTGATGGGAACTGGAAATCAGCTGCTAGAGCAAATGTTGGATATCCCCTTCCCTCAATTTTCTGTTCTGTGGCTCTCTATGACCACCACATAATCATAGAATCATTTCTATTGGAAAAGACCTTTTAAGATCACTTTGTCCAACTATCTATCCCATGTAAAATAGTTTTGAATGAATAGTTTTGTGGTACAGCATGAACCCATCCCACGCACCATTTTTCTGTAAGCTCTTGGCTGTACCATTGTGCTAGCACAGATGGGAAGTGTCCATGTGTCAGAGACCTGTGATACACAGCCCTGCAGTGGAGCAAGCTGCTGTTTCCACTGTCAGGTAGGAGCTGCTTTCAGGCCCCTTGTCTCCACGTTGTTGCAGGCTGCTGTCAGATTGACCTCAGGCTTCCTCCTCGTCAGGTGAAACCAGCCCAACTGCCTCAACCCCTCTCTGCAGGTTTAAAGTAGAAATTTCTGTGCTGCTTATCTATGGCTGATGTCTGACCTCCACAGCTTCCAGCTTTCCAAGATTTGGGCTGAAACTGTGTGTCTGCATAGAAAAAATGATGTTTTTATGTGGCAAGTGAAAGTTTAGGAATAAACTTGCCATGTGTGCATGAAATGTATAACCAGGGATTTCTACCAGGGCTGTTCTAACCAAGCCATATCCAGAGAACATGAGTTCCCAGTTCATTAAGCTTTGGTCCCTCTCTCCCATCTGACAGAAGGGTTTTTGGAGGCTGCCTTATAGGCACAAATGATGTTTTACTGCTCCTTGTTTTTTCACTACTGCTTTTCTTCTTTGTAAGGCAGCAGCAAACAAAGTGCTCTAAGCTTAATTTTCAGAGTCCATATTACACAATAGAAGCAAGCCAGTACAATTTTCAAACCAGAAAGGCCTGGGATGTTCCATTAAAATGCAAAGAGATTTATTTGTCTTTGTGACTTTAAAGCTTGTGACACAGTTATGAAATGGGTAAAGCCAATAATAGAGTAATCTCAGCTTAAAACCTGCTGTTCAGTTCTCTCTGTCAAATGGTTGTCCATTTTTATTTGCAGTGATTCTTAAAACCACGCTCCCATATTTAGTGAAAAATACAGTCCTGGTGAGAAAACCTGATTTCCTTACCTCTAACTACTTTGCTTTTCATTACACAGATTCTGGTGAAGCTTCATCCCTTGCCATAGAGAGGGAGACATAGCAGTGTGAAAGCACAGCACACACAGCTGGTGCAGAAAGGTCAGTGCTGCTTTTGCATTGCCTTCCAAACAGCCATAACACCATCTCTTTGTGTTTGTATTTCACCAACAGTCTAGAAATACACTAAGAGCTCCTACAAGACAGCAGTGGCTGTGCCAAGAGCACCATTTGCAGGGGAGGGTACAAAGCCTGCAGCTCCTCTGGAGCGTGTGGCAGGAACAGCTCTTGGCAGTGACAGGACTGGAGTGCTGTTGAGTGGCTGATGGAAGGTGTGGGCAGGTGCAGACCCTGTCTCAGAAGCAACCAAAGTTGAGAACAGCCAAATTGTGTTCAGGAATAAGTGGAAGTGACTTGTAATGCCCACGTCAGCTGCTACTCTCTTACCTCTATTTTTTTCACCCTGGAGAAGGTTGGGTGCAACAACAGACAATAGAGTTGGGGAGGAAGTTGTTAACCAGGATGCTCCTTGGTCTGTCATCTGTTCTCAGAACCATGGGGAGATACCCCACCCAGACAGAGCTGCAGTAAGCTGCAGGCTGGGTCCTCTTCTGTCTCCACACTTCCATGATGGAGTGGGAGTGACTCAGAGCCCTGGAGTCTCCTCTGTTGCCCTGCTTGCAGGAGGTGCAGTAGCCCCATGGAATTTGCCCTGCTAGGTGCTGAGTAGGGAACTGTGTGGAGGGCACTGTAACCCCCTCCCTTGTTCTGCAACAACAGGGCAGCTGGGGAACTCTATAAATGAGCTTCTGGTATATTGTAGCTGCAATTCCATTTCCCCTGAGAAGAAGAACCCCAAAGTATTTTTTCTGTCACTAGTCAGAGAGGACCAGCCCCTGCTGTTCTCTGAGGCAGTGAGACCCCAGTGTCCTCCTGTCCTCCTTCCAGCAGCCAAGGCAAGGTCAGACACCTGCCCATTGCCTGCCAGATCAGTGCTTAGAGTTCCACATTTTCCTTCATTTACATTTCAGCTTCCCTCTCAGGAGTCAGAATCCCTTCTCTTGGCCTGGACTTCGGCTCTGAGGGGCAGCAAGCAAGTGGATCTTCAGGATGGGAAAACATCAGGAAGCATGGTCTGGTGGGAGCCTGCTACCCAGAGTGCTGCTCCAGAGCTCCTGCTGCCCAGAGGTTTCAAGGCTCCATCAGTTTCTGTTTCAGAGCGAACAGAACAGTTTATAGAGTGATTCTGGCCAATCTTCTTTGGCCTGCTCTCTGTATTTTATAAATAATATATATTTTTTATTCAAAATAGGTAAGAATATTGATGCGAGTGCATTTCCAAAGGCCTTTTCATTTTGCAGACATCAGGGACTTGAGTTTTTGAAATTCTTCCAAGCCATAATATTCTTGGGGATGGTATTTATGCTGAGGCTGATTCTCCAACCTTTTCTGAGAAGTGGCATTTTCTAACATCTAAAGTTCTGTCTGAGTCAGTTCAACTCAACTAGAGACAGACTGGCTGGGATTTGGCACTAAATTGATAGTTGGATGTAAGTGTGTTGAAAGAAAAAGTGCTGCACATGTATATATGCATCTGCAGCTGTGGGTGAAAATAAAATAGTCACATTGCCAGGATCAAGATTCAAGAATATTGTGGCCATAGTTTTTTTACAATATTTTTTAGGAGAGTGTGATTGTCTTAGAGTTTTAGTGCCCTTTAAGCCCAGTCCTACTTGCAGGCACCTAAAACGTGGAAGGGAGCTTTAGACACTACAGTTTGCATCAATTCCAAGGGCTAAAATATCAGCTCACTCCTGGGTCAGTGTTTGGTGGAAGTCTGTGTGTTTCTGGAGGCAGAAAGGAAGGTGTAAATCTGAAACATGCAAGTTGGAAACGTGCACTGAGAATTCCAGCAGCAGTGTTTGGAGTTTGTGCTCCACAAAGGTGGTTCTGGTCCTGCAGTGCTGAAGAGACAACTGAAGCACTGAATTTTTTCAGATTTCTTCCTAAGTGAATGTATTGACTGGTGGTTTAAAGGATTTTCAGCACTTAGAGGTGATCAGATTTTTCTCTTCTTGTCAAAAGAATGTACCTCTGGTTTTATCCTGTGCAATGGAACTCTGGCAGGTTTATATTCATTTTTCTACATCTTGAGTCTTTTTTTACCTGCATGATTCAGACCTGGCAACTCCATCGCTCATGCTTGAATTAAGTGCATGCTTAAACTCTTAGTATTCTACCTTGAAGATGATTTGTTGCTATTTTCTCTCCCCTTTTTTTGTGTTTATCAGCCCATTTGTGTTGACAGTGACTACAGAAGCAGTTGTGGATGTCATGAGAAGTTACCTGCTAAGTATCTGTTTGGTGACAAAGGCCTTGCCTACATCCTAAATCTTTATTTCCTCCCTTTGCTCTGCCACTGCTGCTCGTGGAAATGTGCTGGTGAGACAGGAGAGAGTCTCCCAGAGATTTTCTGCCTGTAGGAGTAGATGTGCAAGCTGTGCCCTGTGCAGGGGTGTTTTCTCCCTCTGCCTCTCTGGTTTGGTGTGGAGTGACTGCTGTAGAACATCCTATAGCTGAAGTTCAGCTGTTAGGAGTCAGGGTGGATCTCCCAGGCTGAGTGTGAGTTCCTCTCTCCTCTCCTCAGCATGGTACTGAACACTCAGAATGTTCCTGCTTCAACATCAGGTGGTTCTGTCATCAAATGGCTTTTGAGTGCTGAAACTTTTTCCTCTTGACCTAAACCTGCATTTCTAACACAAATCTCACAGTGGACCTTAAAGAGCATTTGATGGAAGATGGCAGGAGGATGAATCACCTCATTCTGGCAAAGTGGGTTCTGCAGGGGGGTCCCCAGGGGGAGGTGGCAGCTAAGCACAGCAGGAAAGGCACAGGAATTTGGCACCAGCAGAGGTGCTCTTTGTGCCTTGTAAAACTCTAGATCCCTGTGTATGAAAAGAGAGATGATTTGGTGACTTTCTGTTCCCTTGTGCCAGCTGCAGTGTGGTTTAGAGGTGGGAGTGGCAGAGCTGTGTCTGAAGCCGGGTGGATTTACAGGAGTTCTCTGAGCAGGTTCTGGTGTCCTTCCTGGCTTTGGTTTTGTTTCCAGCCCTGTCCCTCCTCCCGTGTCGTGGCAGAGTCCCTGCCTGCTGTCCAGCTCCAGCACTCCTGCCTAGGGAGTACAGAAAACCAACTTTTGTCCTGTGATTGTTACCAGAACTGAGGTCTTTCTGCCAGTGCAGCTGTCCAGCTCAGGTCTAAAGGTTTCTGAGTAACTTGCTCTTACTCAGTAACTTTTCTTGCTGCTAGTTCTGGCCTGTTTCTCCCCCTCCTCAAAAGCAGCTCAGCCTCCCTTGGTTGTAACAAACTCTTCTCCAGGCATAAACAATAAAGAGCTGGAGAGTTTCAGAACTGCTTCAAATCAGTTTTCACATGTCAGGGTTTCAGAAGCTTCAGAGTGAAAGGTGGAGCAAGTCCAGGAGTTGGGTAAAAATGGGGCAGGACAGGAGGTGGCCAGACAAGCCCCAGGTTGTTCTCTCCCTGCCCCAGGGGAGATCTCCTGGTGTTATTGCAGCTGGGGCCACGGATGGAGTTGCAGATGGCTACTAAGGAGAACCCAGGGCTCCCAGTTAATATTTTGGGCCTTTCAAAAGGCCGTTGGCTAGAGATCTGGGCAGGGTAGAAGCAGTAATTTTGACTGCACCTCCTGCTACCTGTGGTTTTACAGCTGGGCTGCTGTTTGCTTTTTAATTGACTTTTTTCCCTTTGCTTCTGAAAGGAAGTTGCATGAAAAGACTGCAGTAGATGCCAGGTGTGTAAGGCCCTGTCTGATGTGCTCAGCAAATGCACTGGAACACAGAAGTTCTCAGGCTGTCTCTGGCCACTGCTGCAGGTGACACAAGAGACAAAGCATTCAGCTGAGCACGAGGTAGCTTTTTAACCTGGGGCACACCCACTACAACATCTCCTGGTTCCCATCCCCTTACTCCTGCCCTGGAGGCTCTCAACCACCCCATCTCTAACTGTAGGGGCTGTAGAACCTCTCTGTGAGGTCCAGCAGGACATCTGCCCCTCGCCTGCCCTGCCCTGAGCAGTGCAGTGCCTCCAGGTGATGGTGTCTGGTGCTGCCTGGCTGTGCAGGGCTTGGATGAGCTCCGAGCCCTCGGTGTGCCCGGGGCAGTGCCACTGGTCCCACGGGGGTGATGGTACCTGTCAGTCTCTGCCTAGTTAGGGGCTCTAAATCCACCTGTACCCCAAAAACTTGGTAAACTCCTGAGGTGTGGATCTCAGTTCTGATGCTGATGTAAGCCGTGTGGCTGTGGTGCTCAGGGAGCTGTTGGACTGGAGCCTGGGGCCGTGTGGGAGCGGGGAGGGAACAGTCTCCCTGCCCCCCTGTCTAGGAGGCTGTTTTCCATGGCTTAGCATCAGGCCTGTGCTGCAGAGTAAGGCCCAAGGGCAGCAGTTTCCAGCTGGGGGTCAGGAGGTGTGTTTGCCCTGTGTGGATCTCATGCTGCCAGTGGAGCTCAAGGTGCAGGAGCTGCTGTGTTTGGGGGGAAGGCTCCTGCTGGCTTAGCACACCGCTGGTGGGGAGGTGGAGCTGGGGGGTCCCCAGGGCAGCTCTGCAGCACAGACCCAGCCTCTGACTGCAGCCGTGGTGCCAGTCACCCTCAGCGTTTGGGGTGGGCTGGTGGGAGCTGGCACAGGACTGCCAGACCCTGCCTGTGCCTACCCACAGCCCTCAGGCAGCAGCAGATACAGCCCGAGCGGGAGCCAGACGCCCCGGGAGCGTCCCGGCCTGTCCCACACAGCACTGGGATCACCAGGTCAGGTCGGGGCACAGAGCTGCTGGGGTCCAGCCCAGGCACAGGAGGGTCTCCCAGCCTGCAGGTGGATTGCAGCGTTTTACAGATGTCATGTCCTTTGTGGAGTGAGGGCTTCCTCTGCTGCAGGAGCTGTTCACAGCGGGCGTCACGGTGGGGAAGAACCATCGCTCGTGCTGGGTGTTCCTGTGAAACCTGCCTTGTCCCTCTGCTCCCAAATCAGACCAACCCTGCCTCATCCCTCTGCTCCCAAATCAGACCAACCCTGCCTCATCCCTCTGCTCCCAAATCAGACCAACCCTGCCTCATCCCTCTGCTCCCAAATCAGACCAACCCTGCCTCATCCCTCTGCTCCCAAATCAGACCAACCCTGCCTCATCCCTCTGCTCCCAAATCAGACCAACCCTGCCTCATCCCTCTGCTCCCAAATCAGACCAACCCTGCCTCATCCCTCTGCTCCCAAATCAGACCAACCCTGCCTCATCCCTCTGCTCCCAAATCAGACCAACCCTGCCTCATCCCTCTGCTCCCAAATCAGACCAAACCTGCCTCATCCCTCTGCTCCCAGGTCAACGCTCCAGAGGAACTGACCACTAACAGCCCCTTCTCACCACTCCCCTTCTCTCCCATTTACACCCAGGTACACTGTACTCTTTAAAACAAAAACAAATAGGACATCATATTGATGTATCTATGGATGAGATTGTGGCTGAGGAGTCAGGACTTCTGTGAGCCTCACTGCACTGCACGCTTCTTTTGTCTCTTGCTGAATTTAGTTTTTGGGGTTTAGTTCTGATGTATCTATGGATGAGATTGTGGCTGACAAGTTGTGTCTGAGGAGTCAGGACTTCTGTGAGCCTCACTGCACTGCACGCTTCTTTTGTCTCTTGCTGAATTTAGTTTTTGGGGTTTAGTTCTGCAGCCGGCGTGGGCTGAGAGCACAGCTCGGTCTGAGGGACCCAACCTGAAGTCTGTAACACAGTGTGAATGTCAGGTGTTGGGGGCAGGGGGGAGAATTTACCTTCCCTTGCTCCGCCTTGGCTGCAGAGTGGCGCGTGGGGTGTGTTGGGCCCACGGTTGGGTGCAGCAGAGGTGAAGGAGCGGCCCGAGGAGCTGCCCACCTGCTTACCAAGCCAGGAGGGATTAACTCAAAGGTCCCAGGACTCCTGTGGGACAGAACTTCCAAAGTGACCCACAGGACTTGAAAATACCTTGATTTTATGGATGTTTTCCAGTTCTGTCGGCTTCTGTTGCAAACCCAAAGTGGTCTGGAAGCCCTCGGTGAGGGCACGGCGCGGCGGGGTGGATTTTGGCACCAGGACAGGTGGGTGGAACAGGTTGGCCACGACCAGCAGCACCAGGTTGTGGCCCCACCGCCTGCTCTCCCTGCCTGATGCTTTATTGCCTCTCCTGGGCACAAACACCGAGCTCACACCCCCTGCTCCATGGTTTCATTCCTCTTTCCACCCCCTTGGAGGGAGAGTCTTTCCCCTTCCTCCTCCTGAGTATTCCTGGCTTTCTGTGCCCTGTTTTTGGGCACCGTGAAGGTGAGCAGGTGTCATTTTAAGCAGCTGTGCCACATGTTTTATTTGTAATTACTCTGAATATTTGTCAGGTGTCACTGTGTGATTCTCCTTCCAGCCCAGCCTGCTTCACTCCAACCAGTGGGGTCCAACTTCCTGCCTTGCTTTTCTCTCTTTCCTAAAAACCTTATTTCTTCATTTTCTAGCTTCAGTTTGGGATGTAAACGGTATGAATAAAATGTGAGTTTACATTTCGGATACGAGCCTGGACTTGGTTCTAGTTTGATGCTGCTTAAAAGATTTTTCTTTTCTGTATGAGGTTTTAAGGTTTCCAGCAGCATTTGTAGAACTTTAGTGGAAAAGAGCCACTGTTAAAAAAAAATCAAGACGAGTTATGTTAAGGAGGAAGACAAAACAAAGATGACAAAGAGATCATCTTTGCTTCTTACTCCAGTTTTGCTGGAAAAGGAATGTCTGCTTGCACCAGATGCTGGTATCACACAGCTCGTGCAACCTGCGAGTGTTTTACTTGGAGGCTCTTCCAGTACTTGAACTTTTCTGGAGCTGTCCCTTGGACTAGATCCCACGGGAAGCCTGGGAACAAATTAAAAACCTGTCCTTTCCTTCCTGAACTGGGGACGGCGTGTGCTGCACCTTCAGCACTTCCCCTTACAGGAGACGTGAAAATCCAGCGGACTCGACAGTCTCGGTGTATTTATTTTCCCCCTGCCTTTTTCAGGAGTATCTGTGAGCCTCTGGGAGGTGTAGGAGAGAAATCCCTCAGCCCAGCTGCTGGGATGGTGCTGCTGTGGGGAGCCTCCCGAGGAGCAGGTCCTGCGTTTGCCACTGGGGCCCCGTGTGCTGCTGGGGTGACGAGCCCCAGCACGGGCTCTGTCCTGCGCCATCCTGCTGGACTCACTGGTGGCCTGAGCAGGAGCTGTTCAGTCAGTCCAAACAGCTCCCGACAGCTTCCCTTCTGCTATAACGTGCAGAATAGGAAAGGAGGTGTTGTGTTAGAAGTTAATTCTGTCTGCCCAGCTGGTTTTCATCCCAAAACGACTCCGTTGTGGTGGAAAGGGCTCCCTCAGAGGCAAAACTTAATGAAATCTCAGGATCAGACAATCACAGACCCATCTCTGTCAGAATCCAGCATTAGGAGGTTTTTTACCAGGCTTCACAGTAGAGCCAGCTGGGTTCCACTCGCTGGTGTTCTGAGCAGGCAGGAGAGTTTGGGTGGCAGGACACCAGTGGCCTGAGCCGCTGGCTCCCCGGCTGGAGGGTGCAGTTGGGTTCAGGAGTTTAATGCTGCTGCCAGCATTGACACCTCTGCTCTCAAGTGGGTTTTTACAGCAGCTTTTGGATACAGGTTTTTACTGTCCAGCATTCTGACCTTGCTATGAACTCTGTGTACGTTTCGTTGGTGTTTGCCAGGTGTTTGTATGGTTTCTACCCCTGAACATCCCCCACGTTCTGCTCTGTCCTTTTCTATGATGGTTTATACTGGAAACCGGCGCGGTCCGAACTGTCCTGCAGGCAGGGACTGCATTAAACCCATCTTTGGCTAATTTATTACATGTGTGGGTGGTGATTTTCTATGACCTAGACTATGCTCAGGCTGAAGTCTCTCTCTGGAAGCCTTACACAATTTAATGAGTTGAAATTACTGCTTGGAGGAGGGAAGGTTCTTCATCTATGTCAAAAAAAGGATCCACTGAATGCTATTCCTGGACTTAGGAGGTGCTGGTTGGGGTGGCCCAGGGCTCTGCTCCTGGGGTGAGGGGGATGAAGCACCCAACCTGTGCTGTTTGTAACCCTCTGCTCTTTAGGATATGGACATGCTTCAAAAATAACAATGGGCTATATTGTCTGTATATGGCAATTTTCCCAGAGTCACAGTGAGGTAAGATACCAGCTCATTTACTTGTTGGATATTGTGTACTTGGTGCCAGGGGATTTAAAACCAAAGAAAATCTTTGGCTGCAGATTTACCTTTAATCTGATCGATGAAATTACTGCAGGGAGGATTTGGAAGGGCTCTAAGGCACCAGGGCCACCTTTGTCTGTGGACTTTCAGCTTCTGTGAACAAAGCTAAAAACTGAGCTCAACTTTTAGCCCCAGCTTCCCATCCGTTCCACAGGTTCACGATTCCCACTCCAGCACGCAGGTTTCAAGCAGCAAAACCCAAGTGCTGTATGTGTGAGATTTCCATAGGCAGCACTGAGAATCTTTAATTCTTGGCCACCACCCAAAGACTGAAAATTCCACCAACAATTCAACGTGGCTGCTCAGAACTACGTCAAGTTCCAAGTGCCCCTGTGGCTTTGGAAGCCTGAGGAGAGGCTGGAGCGGGTGCCCCAGAGCCGTGTTACACACTGTACAAACCCTTCCCATTTAGTTGGTTTATTTTGCTCTCACAAGCAGCCACGAGACAGGCTGGAGAAGAATAAATAAGTTAAAGCAGAGTGTAGCAGTTTGTACAACCCCAGCGCTGAGATGCTCCACTGTGCACTGATGGAGGGCTTGGTTACTGTACCTGAGGCAGGGGCTGACCAGAACTCGGGTATCTAAGTCAAGTATTTGCCCCTTGGGCCAAAAAAATTTTGAAGGACACCCTCAACCAACTCAACAATAAGAAAATGTAGAAAAAAAACCCAAACTATTAACGTCATAGAGCTGTATCCATTGTTCTGAGGGTGTCAGTCTGTTCCAAAGTACTTCTGTCCAAAGTGTGTTGGTGCCACAGGATGAACTTCTGTCGTGAGGATGGTGATCTCGGGGAACTCCTGGATGATGGATTTGGCACCTTTTGGGAGAGGACAAAGGCTCAGTGAGTGCAGGGTGGCAGCTGTGTCCCAGCACCGCAGGCTCTGTCCTGCCACCTCTGCCCTGGCTGCCTGGCAGGAGGAGCTTCCTGAATTTAGTGGGTGGATTTTTTGGGGCCTCTGTTTTTTTTTTTCCCCCTCTATACATACATGTATCTAATCCCCCAAGTGCTCAGCTGGCTTTTTTAATAAGCCATTTCTGCCATGGCCAATTTTAAAACAAGACCCATACAGAAACAACGTTCCTTTTTTGGATCCCTTCCACACGTCAAGACCTTGGCCGTGCAGACAGTTCCATAGCCTCATTCACCTCACCCTCCTCATGGACCTGGTGTCTTTGGGGGCCAACCAACCCCACCAGCCGTGGGCTGCTACAGCCAGAGCAGCAGCAGCACTGGCTTTGCTTCGGGAGCCAGGGAAGCACCCCATGTGCCTGGCAGGGCTGCAGCTTCCTGCCTTCAGGAACACCTCACCACTTGCAGCTTTGCCATGAGGTGTTAACGGCCCCTCTGCTGTCCAAATCCACACTCTCCATTTTACAGTTCAGCCAGAAATAAGGACAAGGAACCCCCCTCTGCCCAGGGCCAGCTCCACACCACAGCTCCTCCCCCGTGCTGTCCCCCAGCTCACCGTGAGGGGTGGAGAAGAGGCTCAGCAGGATGATGACACTGGGCTGCACTCCATGTTCTACCAGAACCTTGACAGCCTCGATGACAGTATTGCCAGTACCTGCAAGGGGAAAAGGGACATTTTGGGGTTTTTTTGTCCTCTGATTAGAAGAACTTGTCCCAGGCCATCTGCGAATACCCATGTTAGTGTTGGTGTGTGACAGAGTGAGGACCCTGCCCCTCTCCCACTGGAAAACTGTCACCTCTGCACGTCTGAATTGTGGAAAACTTTGGTCTCCTGGTGAAGGAACTTCATCACTGCTCTCCAACAGCTCTGCCAGGTTTTGAGCACGGAAGCTGGTGGGTTTATGAAAGCCCTGAGGCAAGAAAGCTCATCTAAAATAGTAAAATGGCAATTAAGAGCTCCACGTGTGGAACCAGAATGAAATCTGAGACTGGGAAAGTTACTTCATCCAGAGAAACTCCTTACCACACTTCACAGATTTCTCCTTTTTTTTTTTTTTGGTAGTAATAACTGCATTTAAAGTAATTTAATTCTACGATTATAATATTAATCAAAACCTGTGTTTTAATAGCATGAGAATTTTACTGTTGGAGTGTGTTCTCCTGGCAAAGTTTTAAAGATTGGATTTGTATCCAGTCTCAATGCTTCAGCCCTTCTCACACACAGACCCCCATGCTCTGCTCTGCAGTGGTGCTGCACAGGCTGCCTGATCCCTGCTCTGCCACAGCCTGAGAACTGTCCTGAACCAACACAAGAACTCAGCAAACCCCCAGATTTGGCAATTTCCTTTAAACCCAGTGCAGCCGCTGTTCAGCGGGGTGATCATTCCAGGCACTCACTCAGTATTGGGTACATCAGAAGGACTTTTCTCCTGTAGATGTCTGGGGGGAACTTGGCATAGTAGACTTTGGCTCTCTGGGTCTCCTCGTCGCTCTGGATCAGGATCTTCCCGATGCGGATGGAGCGGCAGCAGTCCCGCAGCCCTTGTTCCATTGCCTCTCCTCACAGCCAGCAGCAGAAACCCAACCAGAGATGGTTACAGGCCCAGAACCAGCCCCACTGCAAGGTGCTGCAGGGACAGAGCCCAGCCCAGCACTGTTGTGAAGAGCTCTAAAGGGAGATTCTTTTTCCCCTTGGTTCTGAGTGTTAAAACCACTTGAAGGTTTCTCCCTTTTCCTCTGTTCAGCCAGAAACACGAGTCTCCCAGGGTGAGTGTTCCCAGAGCTGAGCTCTCAAAGGGGAGAGCTGGGAACCTCAAAGGAAGCCTGTGGGGCGTGGGGAGCATCTGTGAGCTCTGCCCAGAGACACCACCAGATGGGATCTGGTGCAGCTACGTGTCTCCTGAGAAGTTAAGGAGCCGTGTTCCTTGGCATTCTGTGATCAAGGGCAGCTAAGGAGGAGTAACAACTGGCAGGTTTGGGTACAGCTTGTGCAGCAGGGCTTCTCTGCAGCAATTTTTGAAAGGAAGTTCCTTAGGGGTTTCCAAACCATTTAACTCGTGCTCATGCAAGAAGCAGAAGCCACCTACCACTTCTCATGATGCTGACTCCACAGTTTCCCTTCTCAAATCTGACTCCTTCATACTTGTGTCCTGTGAGAGGAAAGAAGCCAGGTGTCAGTGGCAGCAGCTGTCCCCCGAGCAGTGGAGCTGGAGCAGGATGCCACAGAGCTGCAGGAGAAAACTGCAGTGGTCTGTGAGAGAGCACGGGCAGCGTGAGAGGGAGGAACTGGTGCTGAGAGCTCAGGGCTCTTGCTCATTCCAAGACAAAGGCAGCAAAGCAAGATTGTCCCATAGCTGGGCAGCTCTAGCCCCAGAGGCTGGTGACGAGCTCGCCCAGCACCACTCTGGGGGGACACGTGCTGGTGCTACATGCAGGCACTGCCTGTCCCCTGCCTGGCTGGCAGAGCTCCACACCACACAGGAGAAGAAAAGGGGGATCCACTGGTGTCCTTGAGGGGTGCTCTGAGCCCTGAAGAGCAGAAGCCACCTGTGATTGCTCACAGATGCTTGGAGGGAAGGAGCGCAGTATGGAAGCAGGAATTCATGCAGGAGCACCTCAGGTCTCAGGGGACATTCCCTGCTGGAAGAGCTGAGGCCACTTCAGCTCCCTCACCAGCACGGGTGTTGGGGGGAAAGGGAAAGGCACCCACGGCAGAGCTGGGGCACTTTCAGACAGTGGGACTCCTTTCTAAGCCTCCACTTCCAGTCCTACCTGTGGGAGGAGCAGCAGAAGCCACCTGTGATTGCTCACGGATGCTTGGAGGGAAGGAGCTCAGTATGGAAGCAGGAATTCATGCAGGAGCACCTCAGGTCTCAGGGGACATTCCCTGCTGGAAGAGCTGAGCTGAGGCCATTTCAGCTCCCTCACCAGCACGGGTGTTGGGGTGAAAGGGACCCAGAGCAGAGCTCGGGCACTTTCAGACAGTGGGACTCCTCCTTTTTAAGCCTCCACTTCCAGTCCTCCCTGCGGGAGGAGCAGTTCCCCACCCACCTGTTGGAGTGGTCACGGTGCATTCTGTGTATGGCAGTTGGTTCAGTCCCTCTTCAACCACCAGCCTGATCTGTGAAACCAAAGGGATCAGTCAGCTTAAAGGGATTTGTTATCTCTGGAGATAAGATACTACATGTCAGTAGTTCTTCAAGTAGTAAGTGAACACCTAACAGCCCGAAGGGCCTAGAAGGGTCTCTAAAGAGATAAAAGAGTAGTTAGGGAATGAATTTAGGGACCTTTTGGGGATAATGCTTAAGCGTGTTCACAACTCAAATGAAGCCATTACAAAACAAAATTGAAGGAGGGGTCATTTGCAATCATAAAACTGACTTCTTCTGCCAGGCAGAGGCATCACAGACAAATTTTGATTAATAAATAAGTGAAGCACGAATGCAAGCGTTTTTCTGACCAAAAAAGAGACAAAGGGGACACCTCACCCCCTCGCAGGTGCCCCTCAGCTGGGCACAGCTGTATGTCACATCTGTATTTCCAGGACTGAGCTGGGGTGGGGCTGCCAGAACAGCCAGAGAAGCTGCAGCAATGGGAACCCAGCCCCAGGTGCCCAGAGGTGAGCCAGCAGATGGAGAGATCTCTATCCCCACCTTCTTCTGGTGTCCTGGGGGGTGCTCTGCCAAGCCCCTGGGCTTCAGGGGGTGCAGATGCCCCACTTCAGCAGGGATGTCACTGCTGGAGCTGGAGCTGGTAAGCCACACAGCCCTCTGGTAGCCAGAAAACCTCCAGCTCTGCTCTAGTGCTGGCCCTGCAGCTGCACCCCAGGCAAAGTCACCTAAATTTATTCATCTGAACCCAGAATGATGCCCATGACAGATGCTCTGGGTATTAAAGTGGTAAAAATTCTCTTTGCTAGTAAGCCAGATTGAGAGGCCAGGACTGCTCAAGGAAAGCTACTGACAAGCCAGTGATGAAACCTGTTAAGCAAAACAGTTATTTCACACACAAAAAAAAGAGCCAAGCTCTAAGCCAGGTTTGGAAGAAATGCTTTTTTTTTCATACTGCTGTCCTGTTGCCAGGGTTATCATCACTCCACCTTATCTCCCAAAAGTTCAGAGTAAACCAGTGAAGGTCTACAGTCCAATAATCTTGTTTTGCTACACGTGTCAATGTTTTATACAGAGGCTGGGAAGGATTCCTCTGTGAACTTAGCAGTGTTGACAAAACATGTACTTTTGCACTAAGCTTTCTGCCACCCCTGTGCTCAGGGATTCCAATTTCCTCATCTTTTCTCTCTGGCCTTGACCACCAGCAGCCCTGCTCCTCTCCCAGAGGTGGCTGCCACTGCCTGCAGTCTGAAATGACCAGAAATTGAAGCTATTAATTAAAAAAAAAACAAAAATAAAGTCCATTTTTAACTGGGGGGGAAAAAAACAGTTAAAAGAGATGTTAAAGTCTAGCAGACCTAGTTGAATTGTCAGCTTACAGAGTTATGCTGAGGTTTTAGGTTAAGTGTTTAATGCTGATACACCAAATGATACACCAGTGTGCTCATTTATGACAGTTCTACATTGAAGATTTACCACAGAGCCTGTGCAGGATGTGAAGGGAAATACCATTTGCTTCCACCTTCATTAGTGCACGAGCTGTTAGAGCTGTTGGTAAAACCAAGAGCTAGCAGAGGGTGGAGGAGTTTTAGCTGACTACCCCATGAAGACTCCAAGGATCTGCAAATATCAGTGAAATCGACCTTTTCTCAGGTGATTAACACATGAATAAGATCTCCTTACCACACTCAACTACCACTGAAGAAATCAGGTGTGACCAGTTCCTCAGAGTCTGGGAAGGGAGAAATTTGGATATAGGCACCTCCCAGAAGCAGGGTGAGTGTACCCCAGGTTAGAAGGGGGGTGGTCACTAACTCCTGATTTGTTGCCTTGGGCCTTTGCTGTTCCTGGTGAATTGGAATGCAAAACACATCCTCAAGAAGAGAAAAGCAGCAGGGAAAGTGGAAAAGCTGCAAAGATCAAAGCACAGCAGGCACAGTCCTGGGCTGTGGGGCTAGCTGAGCCTTGAGCAAGCCTGGCTTGGGCGTGGGTTGAGATTGGGCTCATCCCAGGAGACCTGTGGGCTGAACTCTGGCCTCGTCTGTGGTGCAGGGGTTTGGAGAAACTTTCCTGTTCCCTGTTAAAGGCTGTGGATTTGCAAACAGCAAACACCCACACGAATGCAAGGAGGGAGATGTGTGGGCCTGAGTGTTGTGGGTTTCTCCAAGCAGAGAATTTAAATGAGACAAATGTTGCATGCACAAATGTCAGCTCCTGCTGGCTGACTGAACTGTGTAAGAAATTGCACAGCTCTGCTCACGAGATCAGAAGTCCTGTTTTGAAGTAACACTGAATTATCTCTAGCCCCTGTGCATCTGTTCTTAGACAGAATTCTCCTGCTGCTCCTGTCCTCCACCCTGAGGCAGTTGTTGGATGGCAGCGTGGTTTCTAGAACCACTTCAGATGATGGCAGTCCAGAAGAGGGAACTCCAGTCTCTGCACAGACAGCTGCTGCCAAACAGCAATTCCCTTTGTCTACAAAGTTGCTCTCACGCCACCACTGTTCCCTGCTGAAGGACCCATTCATGGAGGAGTTACAAAGTACCATACCAGCAAGAAGAAGCTCTTCACCTACCAGCCGATCAGCAGAAAAGACGAAGTCGCCTCTACTGGATTTCCTGAAAGAGGTAATAGTTTAGATTTTAATCTGGGGAATCATTTCGGGAACATTGCTTAAATAGGATATGAATTCAAAGGCAACCTGAGGGAAAGCCAAGAGGTTTGTCCACTTATTTCCTGGGCAACTGGTTACTTAAAAAAGAGTTTAAAAACCAGTGTCAGCCTAATCGAATGTCTTTCCTTGTGCTCATAACGTGCTATTAAAGACACAAGTTACTTTTATTTTTCCTTCTTTCTGGTAATGACAGGATACTTGTCACTTTCTGCTACTTTGGCATTAACCAGAAAGGCAACGCTCAAAAAACACCCAATCCCCAAACCACAATGAACCCCCAGGCCCCCTACAGTTACATAAACTGATTTTATTAAGATTTCTGAAGGGATTCACATTTCCATCTGCAGTGCCTATAAATATTTTTGGGAAAGGGAAGTAACCAAGTGTGTAGGTGGTGCATTTGGGTTCCTCCAGACGATGGCATTTCAGAACATGGAGCTGTTATTTCGTGAAGGGGTGAGAAGACAAACCCAACAGGATCTGCCCACAGAGTGAGACGTGTTTGGGGTAAATACTGAGTTATTAGCCCACATCACTGGGCTTTAAGTTATCACCCTGCCCTGGCAGGGATGCCGGTGTGAGCTGAGCACCCTTAGACAGTTCCCTCTGCTTTTTGAGGGGAGGAGGACAACAGAAAACAAAGCTGCATAAAAATGAGAGACAAATAATAGATTCAGGGAAAATGACAGACCTCTTGTGCACCAGCAGCTGGGGCCACATTTCAAGCCCCACATCCCAGAGGAAAAAAAAAGGCCAGAAAAAAAGGCTGATGTGAAAGCACAGTTCACCTTAAATAGCAGGCAGAAGCATAGAAAGTACTGATGGATGGCAGGCTGGAAACTTTTCCAGCTCTTTTAGTCGATGAACAAGGCAACATCTAAAAAAACAAGAGGCATTAAAACCTGACTTGTAGCCCAGGGCTGCCAACAGGAACGTTGTGCTGAACAATACCAATCAGTTTGATGCTTCTGGACGTGTGGAAGCACGGCTGGTGTCCAGCTGAAGCCCCCCCATGTCTCTAGGAGGGGAGAAGGAATGTTTTGGGGGGACGCCCCGTAGCACAAGGGCAGTGCTGGGTTTCCTCCTGGACAAATTGTTGCCACTGAGGGGAGACAAGGTAGCTGGGGACAGAACCATGTGAGCCTGCAGCACTGGAGGTACTTGGTGTGTAACTTCTGAGTTACACACTCCCTGCTGCAGCCAGGGCTGTGTGTCCTGCCCCTCTGCTGTGCTGTTCCCAAGGGAATAGGAAGCCTCAGGAGAACACAACAGAATGATGTCACCTAACAGACACAGTAACCTTCAAACCCCTGTATTTACATCATCTCTGCTTAAATCAGGAGTTAAAGATGACACTACCAAGCCACGCTGACCAGCTTGCTTCTACAGGAACCACAGCTCTCCACTGCCAATTGCTGCACTACTCATTTCAGCTTCCAGATCCCTGCCTCTAGTCTGTGGGGGCCAGGAATGACGTGGAGATCAAACCCCCTTAGCAGGAGGCTGCAACTGTTTCTTCCCAAATGCTCAATGCTGAAAAAAAAATCATTTCCCATCCCACTAAGGGCCTCAAAATTCATCTCCAGTGCTTGTGATAGAAGGCCCCTGACCCCCCATTAAGTGTTTGCTAGATGGAAAAGTGATCAAGCCTGAGGAACTGGGCCAGGCCACGGATGATCTCATGGAGGTGATGTCCATCTCTCTGTTGTGGCTCACAGGCCCCCTTCTCGTTAACTTTAACGAGGCAGAGGAGCACGTGCTCCCCCCAGTCTGTCTGCTGGTCGTTGCTGGGGCAGGCAGATGCCCCCAGCCCACCCCAGGGCCTGAGGAGTGGCCACACAAAGGGGGGTCTGGCTTTCATAACTGGACAGTTGTTCCAAATGGCAGGCTGTGATTGTTTTGGATTCTTGCTCAGAATCCTCTCAGGAGCCAGGAAAGAGCTCTCCACTTCCCTGAGCAAAAACAGTCCCTGACGTCTTCTGTACCTGGCCTGACCATCCTTAGCCTGGTTCTGACTGTACCTCACTGTATTCATCCCTTCCTTACTTCACAGCAAGTCCTAAATTGAGGGGGTTTTCCCTGCTTTTGTTCTGTTTTTCTCCCCCCCCCCC